TAAATTATTATTTTATTTAAAAAATACTAAATATACTTTAATTTTCCAGGCAAATTTGCCTGGATTATAGTTTAAGGAATAGTTTTTAGCTGCAAAATATGTATTATCTAAAGATGATGATCTAACTTTGTTAGAAAAGATTTGTGAATCAATTGGAGATAACGATTGGTAGAATATAATATCAGAATTACATATTTTACTCACATCTTTATGTATTTGTTTAAATCAACTTCAAACAGATACAGCACATCTTTATGAAGTATTATATATTTTTGGCTATCTTTACAATTTAATGAATCAATACTCTGATATTACTTTTGGAATAAAAATAATAGAATATTTAGAACGATACTGGAGAGAATAGGAGCAACCTCTTTTAATTCTTAGCTTTTTGCTTCATTCTGATATTCGTTTTACAATCACTAATAAATAGTATTACATATGCTAAAATAGGAAAATGGGATATATATTACTACTGTGCTTAGTTCAAAGATCCACCAAAAAAAATTATTGCTAAATTACAAGACTATCGAGATGAATTGTTTCCTTTTTCAAAGAAAGAATAGAACTTTTTTGAAGGAGATATTTTGAAATATTGGAAGTATTGTATTGAAATTCAACTAGAACTTTTCTTAGTAGCATTATGGCTTTATAGTATATTTACTAATAGTGTATTTGTTGAGAAATTATTTTCATCTATAGGATTTTTTCATACAAAAACCAAAAATCGGCTAAGTGTAAGTATCAAATTTAAAATATAGTTCGATTTTATTTTAATTACAATATTATTATTATAGTTTTATACTACTTTTAATTTATAGCCAGATAAGGTTTTAAATATAAGCAAATTATATGCTTTGATACTTTATAAAGATAGGATTAAAAAAATTAAAGATAGTGCAAATTTTGTGGATTCTAATATTGCACTGCCAATATTTTGAAATTTTGAATTAGAAGAAGATAATGACGAATTGAATGAATATTTTATTTCAAATACTGTAGAATGGTCAAGAGTATTAGATACTTGGTTCTCAATAATAGATAATGAAGAAAATACAAGCCAATTATATTATGAAGATAACAAATTAGATACAATCAATTCAACCACTAGTCAAAATTTATTAAATACAACTCATCCTGCAGATAACCAGTCTGCTAAATAGAAGTTAGAAGATTTGTTTGTAACTGATTTAATTGTATCTTATTATATTATAGAGGCTGAAAAGCATGAAATATTAAAAAGCAAAAAGAGATAGAATTTATTAGAGACGAAAATAGAACTGAAATAAATGAAAATAGAATTGAAATAGACGAGAATAGAATTAAAATAGAAGATAATAATGAATCATCAACAGATAGTAATAATAAAGAATTAATAGATGAAGATTAGTCTTTTTTTTTTGATAATTCTTTATTTGCTATTTACAAAGAATTTTTGGCAAAGTTTATTTAGTTATATTAATAAAAATATGGGCATGAAATAAATAGAAACAAATAGTTGCTTAATTTGTTCATATTGCATATATTTTTTAATCATATACATACTATTTGACCTTAGAATAATAATAATATATATGTAAGTTTCAAGTAATAGATTTAAATAGATGAGGATTTTATATGAATAATGTATATAGAAAGATTTACTGGTAGTTTTCTACTTGGTTCAAAAAATTTGTGAGCAATGGCATATATTAAATCAACCATAAGATATATTTATTTAATAGAAAAATATTCAGTAAAAACTATATTCTGAAAAAATAAGTTCTGCACTCACTTTTTTTTTTTTTTTAATAATTTATTGAAAATATATTAGGATGCTTCGACTTAGATATAACATGAAAGAAAAGTATAAAATTTTAATATATTTCACTTCTGAAAATAATTAAAAAATATCAATTTTCTATATACTACCAATTTGATATGTATAATATTGTAATGAAACTTATGTGAGCAAATATGAAAAGTCACTTGAAGATTAAAATAATATTAGTTCTAGCAATACGTTTGTTCAAAAAATCGTGAAAAAATATTTATATAAATTAAAAAGGTATGAAGAATTGCTTGAATATTTAAATAAATCATTACAATTTCCAATTAACATATTTGTATTTTTGTTATAAATTAGGCAACATCCAAAATCACTAGCTAATTTAAACAAATCTTTAAACATTAGATTGAATAATTTACTTTATTAACGTTAAGTTGCTATAAATTAGGCATATACGAAGAATCACTTATCAATCTTAATAATTAAGCCAGGTAATGAATATAGAGCAAGAATAATCATTTATATTGAATGGGTATGGAAACATATAATTAGATAGACACTTCTCAAGCTTTGAAAAGTTATTGTAAATTAGAAAATTAAGCATAATAATAAATGAGTATTAAGCTAGTGTGAAGTTACCATATAATAGGAAAATACAAAAAATCACTTGTGAATTTAACAAATTATAGAATTATTAAAATCTGATCAGATTATAATGTACTATAGATTTTGTATTTTATTTTATTTTTTTATTGGATTGATTTGTATATGATTTTAATTTGTTATAAACAATGAAAAGTCTTGTGATATGTCTGATCCTTATAGCTGTCTAATGACTATGTCTAATGGTTTCAATAGACGCTATTGGGCTATTAGACTGTCTATTGAGTCCAATGGTTGTCCTAATGTCTATTCACAACCCCAGTATTGGCACATGACCAGATCATAACAGGTCATATTACTACCGTAGATTCCAAAAATAAGCTACCATTTTTTTGGATGATTTTAAGCTCAAAAAATCAGGGGTAGCTTATTTTCGGGTAAAAGCAGATTTTACTCGATTACGAAAAATTTTACTAAGTATATCGACATAGCTTATTAAGTGAAAGTTATTCAGAAGATCAAAATACGTATATCCTGAAAATTTCACGTAAATTGAACAACTTTTTATTGATGGACTTTTGATTTTTGCGTTCAAC